GGATTTCTTACATGTATTGTAATATTGTTCTGGTTCTCTTTTATTTAGTTGAAATTTGTATCATGTCATGATGGCGTTCCCTAATGTATATGGGTCTCCAACTCTCCATTGTTATAGGTTATTTATGGGAAACTGTATGCGGGACCTGAAGTGGATGTATGGAGCTGTGGTGTTATATTATATGCCCTTCTTTGTGGCACCCTACCTTTTGATGATGAAAACATTCCCAACCTCTTTAAGAAAATAAAGGTGAGTGGCATCATATGTTAGTCCAAGATTTCTCGTAGGTCTCTCAAAAATAAGTATTAGTAATTATATGCTTATGCTCATTTTATTTTCACTTTGTTCTTTTTCTATCCTGTTAATAATTTCTGAATCAGATTTTCGTTTTTAATCACGTTTATTACCTACTCAAATCCTTAAAGGACTAATACCTTGTAATTGGCTTTATTTTTCTGTCAGGGAGGCATATACACTCTTCCAAGCCATTTATCTCCCGGTGCTAGAGATTTGATTCCACGGATGCTTGTAGTAGATCCAATGAAAAGAATGACCATTCCTGAGATCCGCCTGCATCCATGGTTTCAAGCACATCTTCCAAGATATTTAGTTGTCCCCCCACCAGATACAATGCAACAAGCAAGAAAGGTTGTTGATTTTGTTTTCTCCTGAGTTCAAGTGTTCAGCTTCAGTTGTAAAGATGCTTATATAGTGCTATATTAAACACTGAAAGGCATTGGCGTGATATGATAACTTAAAAGTAACCATCAGGGTCAAAAAAGTATACCAAGACTCCAAGAGTGTACTTTCTTGTGAAATTCTGAACTCTTGTCGGCTACTGGATGTAGCTTTGGTACATTGAATACTGAATACCATAGATTTTTTTACGGGGAGAACCTTTTAAACACCTGCTTTTGATTTTGAAGCAAGGTACTTCGTAATTATTGAGTTTTCTTGCTTGTTATTGGACTCCTGGAAACTTTACTCCAATAAGCCATTTCCTTGCACAAGCCCTGCTTAAATGCTTTCTGGATCATAAAATGAGATTTAGCTGTGACTTGATCGTGCCTGAGAAGTTCTGAATACTGCTGTGTTAGATATTTTAATTTCAATATTATGCCATGTCTAGTTTTAGTTCCTGATTGAAACATAACTACAGATTGATGAGGAGATCCTTCAGGAAGTGATCAGAATGGGATTTGAAAGGAACCATTTGGTCGAATCTCTTCGCAATAGAATTCAGAATGAGGTTTCACTTTCTCCAACTCATTGTCTTGATGAAACTGTTTCCTACTGTTGAGTATCTTCCAGCGAACTGTAGCCTATTGCTTATTTTATTATCTTCCAGGGAACCGTTGCTTACTACTTACTATTGGACAATTGCTTCCGAGTCTCAAGCGGCTATCTTGGAGCTGAGTTTCAAGAAACTATGGTGTGTTTTATTTTAATTTTTCTACTTATTACTGACATTGCTTATCTGAGGCTGCCTTATGGTTATAAAATCCACCATTTAATTGACATCGTCTTTCTCCTTCCTTTACTCTCTTATCGAGTTTGAACTCTGATTCCTTTTTAATCTGTATTTTAGGAATTTGGCTTCAACCGCTTACATCCTAGTGAACCTACTTCTCCAGGTGGCGGACACCGCCTTCCAGGATATGCTGATTATCAAGCAAAGGGTTTAAGAGGCCTCGAGAGGAAATGGGCTCTTGGACTTCAGGTTGAGTTTCTGAGTCTCTAGCAGTTTTCATACACTGGTGACTTCGTATGATATTCATTGTAGGCGTACGGGTGACTGGGCTTCGATCATAGGCATTTTAATGTCTGCTTTTATTTCTGATAGTAACTTACTACGGTGAAAAATGAACTATAAGCAGCAGGATAAGTATGGTTGATACTTACTAATTAAGAAGTGCAGACAATTAAGATTAGATTTAGTATGCATCACATGTGGAGGACAACTAGTAGGACTTAACTTCTTTTATGTCCCTGAGTTCGACTTCTGTTTTTGTATTTACAGTCTCGGGCCCATCCTCGTGAAATCATGACAGAAGTTCTCAAAGCTTTGCAAGCACTCAATGTCTGTTGGAAGAAGATAGGGCATTACAACATGAAGTGCAGGTGGCTTCCTAGCATTCCTGATCTAAATGATGGAATGCTTAGCAGTCCCGTGCACAACAATCACTATTTTGGCGACGAATCAACTATTACAGAAAATGGTGTTACTAAGTTGTCGAATGTTGTCAAATTCGAAGTGCAGGTGTTAACTGTTTATCGTTAGAGAACACGGGAGTTTTACTGAGCTGTGTAGTTGTAGAATATTTATGGGTATAGTGCACAAATAGTCGCCCGATTATAGGGGCTGCGTTGTTGAGTTCCCTGACTATTAAATGTTATAATATGATCCTCCTATTAGAGGGTATTGTTTTGTTGAGTCTCCCGATTATTAAAAGTTACAATATGGCTAATTGACTATTCATATGTTTCAAACTCGTCTTTTTTTGTTAAAAATTGATGATCGTCTGAGCTGGACGTTAATCTGCTGATTGATATATGATAAAAATATATTTTAATGATGTCTATTGGCACCGCCGTTGCTTTCAAGTACCGAGTTCGATGACATAATCTAAATAGAAACTCGATCCATAGAATACAATTTAAACAACTTTGGGATAAGATTTTATCATATTCCAATGAATAAGTTAACGTCCAGCTCAGATGACTGTCAGTTTTTTAACGAAAAATGATGAATTTGAAATACATGAATAGTTGGGTGACTATATTGTAACTTTTAATAGTCAATGACTCAACAAAGCAACACTTTGTAGTTAGATAATCATTTTGTAACTTTCAATAATTAGAGGATTCAATAAAACATCGTCCTATAGTCGGAGATCATTTATGTACTTTATCCAATATTAAATGACCTCAATAAAAAAGCTAATACTTTTTTTTTTCTCTGCAATGGATATCAACAGCTTTATAAAACTCGGGAGGAGAAGTACCTGCTGGATCATCGAAGGGTCCAGGGGCCACAGTTCCTCTTCTTGGATCTTTGTGCCGCATTCCTCGCACAGTTGCAGGTCCTCTAAAACTAGTATGCTATATTTTCAAGGACCCTTCTCCATGAATCTCCTATGATGCATGTGAATAACAACATTCTATGTATATAACATTTCTTTTGGGGGTTTTATGACCCTCTATTTTATATTGGTAGCTGTGGAGCCGGTCCTCAAACACTAGGGTTGGCCAAGGCAATATTACCTAGTCCTTGAACCTAAAGGGGATTTTTATGCATTATCGTGATAGAATTTACCTTGATCTTCTGGTTTGTTTCTATTTTGGGTAAACTATGTGTTTATTACTTAAATTGTTATTTTTATTCCATTTGGTACCCAAATTTTATTTTATTTTTAAAAACATACCTAAAGTTTAATATAGGTTTCATTTTTGCACCTCATCATTAAAAACTTAACGGTGATATTGACGTGTCACCATAAAGTAATGACACGTCATTATAGAAAAAAAATATATATCACATCAACACATATGTTAATATTTTAACGGAGAATACCAAATAAAAACCTAAATTAAACGTTAGGTATGGTTTTGAAAAAAAAACAAAGTATGAGTACAAAAATAGAACAAAAGAAATAGTTTAGGTATTAAAGGTGTAGTTTAATCTTTTTCATTTTTGATGATCCTTTTTTGGTTCCCTCCCATTCTCACTCCCACTCCCACTCCCACTCCCACTCCCACTCCACTGCTTATGCAAGTAGTATTAGTGTATGTACTTGGGACTGTTGCTTCTTGGCCTAGGGTTTTTTTTTTTTTTGACTGAATGGGTATGAAGAATTTAGCCGTGAAGTTGTCAGGTTTTAGTTTGTGTCATATAAATGATCGCTTCAGCTATTGCGTAGGGTTTGATTTTTTACCAATTGGGATTCAGATAATGTTTTGTTTTTGGAGATCAGGTTTACTATCTGCAAGAATTTGGAATTCTGCCATCTGAATCAGTTCCAATGATGTCAGATATCCGAATCCTCTTTATTTTATAACAAAAAGACCAAGTTGGGTATTTTATTTCGAAATTTGGATATATAGTCGGGGTTGTGATCTACTCACACCGATATGCACGATATAGAATAATGTAAAATTTACAAATGATTTTGGTAAAATGATATTCTTAGTCATTTAGTTTTTAAATTTAATTAAAAATACACATATTGATAGACTATCGTTAAAGGGTAATGTGATATTCTAAATTAATAAAAAAATCTTATTTGATCCTTAAATTGTTGTTTTAATATATTTTAAATAATAATTTAAGAAAAAAATCAATTTTAAAAAATATATAAAAGTAAACAAGTTGACATTATTATGCTTACTTTCAATTAGAACTTGGGATCAAATTTCACAACAACCATCCTTTTGTTTATTCTCCGTTTCTCTCTTTAACTTGGCATCAAAAATAGACATTTCATGTCTGCATTTTAGTTTATGCGGATCTATTTAATTAGTATAAAGTGTTCATCATTTGTCGACTAACATTTTTCATTTAATCAAAGATATTTTCTCTCAAAATGAAATGTTATGGGTCAAAGTATTTTTAAAAAATAAAACCAAAGTGATCATTTTGTTAAATGTTAGGAGTAATTTTGTCATTATGTCAAAAAAATTAAAAAGAAAAGGAGAATCGAATAAACGAGTTTGTTTGTGCACATAAACAAAGCGTTTATTTATTAAATAAGCATACAATATTTTTACTCATTTATTCACCTAATAAACAAACGTTATGCATACAACTCAAGAATAATTCATTGAAAGCTTTGTTCATTTATACTCTAAGAATAATGAATACAAGTTACAAACCAAAAATTATTAGAATGGATCAAAGAAACGAGAGTAACCGTGTGTTTTTTAAATTTTTATATAATTTAAATATAATTATAAAAAAAAAGTTGGTACGGACACGAAATCAGGTCCTTGGAAAGAGTAGATTAGTTGGTTAACAAAGCAACAATGGGTGGAAGATCAAGTGAGCTCCAAAGAGATTCGCCATCGTAATTCCCACTGGAAGAATCGAATGAGCTTTGGTGGCTTTCCTCTTGTTTTCCCCTAATCGTTTCAGAATGATCTTCTCTCATCCTCTTCTCTTTGCATGCATTGGAAAGCTTTGTTAATTGGTCTGATCTTGGTTCCCCGGCCATGCCACCTTCTGATCCCACCTTTCTTTTCAACAGCTCCGGGATCCCATTGAAGGCGTAAAGTGAAGCCGAGAATTTCCTCTCGTACCATATCATCGACTCCTCATCCGTCATTGTTGCTACTTGAAGCTCTTCCGCAATCTGGAAAGGAGAAAAGTGGCAAGACGACTCCAACCCAATCTCATTCAGGAACCTGAAATCCAATGCTTCCGCTTCTCTCATGGAACAATGTTCATCACCGGAACTCAAACACGATTCCCCAACACTCGTTGCACTGAGATTAACGTCACTCGACGTCGGGAAATCCTCGAGAAGATCGTCCAGGAAACCATGAGTTTCCTCGACCTGCTGCAACAATGGCTGCTGCTGCTGCTGGCTGATAGTAACAGGAGCTGAAAGTGGCAACGGAAAACACGAATTATTGTTAGCTTTGATCCTCTGAAGAAGGTGATTACTGATCTTGGAAGAAAGCGCCGGTGTCGATTTGATTGACGTCGAAGAACAAGGCCAAAAATTCGTCCTCGTATTCGCACCGCGAAGCAGGCAAGCGGCTTCGTCATAGGCCCTCGCCGCTTCCTCCGCCGTGTCGAAAGTGCCTAACCAAACCCTTATCTTCTGTATCGTGTCTTTGATCTCCGCCACCCATCGACCCGACGGCCTTTGCCTCACGCCCACGAATCGCTTCCTGGTTCTCCTAACGCCTCCGAGTCCGGCGGCTTGTTTCACCATCTCATCCCAACCCATTGTTTCTTCTTCTTCCGCCGTTTGCACACCCTTTCTTTTCCTACCCATTTGGTTGATCAACTTAAGCTTTCCTTTTGTTTCGACTATGGATGGAGAATCTGGTGCTTTATAAACTGTATTTATATGGAAACGAAGAGAAGATACTGTCAAATGAAAGAGCAGCTTTGACAAGGTCATATTCGTACATATACGCATAATAATATGCTTTGACAAGGTCAAATTGTCTCTTTGCTTCCATTTGGTATGTTCTAAGCAAGCATTGTTATATATATATAATTACCATAATCGATTAATTAATAATATCTAATAATTTTAATGATTAACATGAACCAAGTTCGTGGTAAAGGAGTTGTTGTTATTTCTTGAGGATATAGGTTCGAGCACCATAGGGGGTGAGCGTTCAATGTCATAAGTTTAAGAGTTATCTTTGAATATATATATTATTGTATTTATTCCAAACTAATAAAAAAATTAATGATTAAAAAATAAATTATTCTTTTTAAAAGTCTTAAATTTAAATAATTGCGTTTATAGGATGCGTGCATTATCAATGACTAAAATGATTATGAAAAAATATTACCTTATAATCTCATTATAATTTATGTCAATAAAAATTATATAATAAAGCTTTTATTTTAATTTTTTATTCATAATATTATAAATTAAACTATTACTTTATTAAAGAGTATAATTTCTTAATCAAACGAGTTGGTTCAAGTAGTAAATAGTTTGATATCGCTTAAGCAGGTCTCAAGTTTGAGTCCTTGTATATGCAGAAAATCTCCGCTGGAAGATTTACCCACCAAAGCCAGGTGTACAACTCGGGTCGGTCCAAATTAGTCAAGGCAAAGCCTTGAAAACTGAAAAGGCAAAAAAAAAGGAGTATAATATCTTCTCTCATTAAATTAATTATTAACTATTTGATATCCGTCTTAAAAATTTCGTGATCAATACAAAAAATATATATATATATATATTAAAATTTTTAAATTAAATTATTAATAGTGTTAATATTTTAAAAGTTATTTGTTTTTTTAAATAGCAATAATGAACATAATACTTGAGATTTTCAATATCTAACTCATTAAATAGAAAATAACCTCAGTGACCGAAAATTCCTTATAATATACGATTTTGACCAACTTTTTTTCGATTTGCCAAAATGACCAACAAAATCGCAATGCGATCTCTAAATCGCAACGCGATCTCCAGTATCGCAAATCACTTTCCAGATTCGTAACGCGATTTTGACTATCGCGTTGCGATTTTAGAAAATCGCAATGCGAATATGTAAATCGCAACGCGATCTGACTATCAACTCGATTCTGACTATCGCAACGCGATTCTAACTGTCGCAACGCTGAATTTCAAATTCGCAACAGGTTTTAGTTTCACAACACAAATGTTTTGGGTATATAACTACGCAGCAGCAACAACTCATAACCTAAATCCCTAAATCGCAACTCATTCCATCTCCATCTATCACTCTCTCTGGCGACATCCGTTCTTATATCCAACGACATCCTTCCCTATCCGGCAACAGGTTTTAGTTTCGCAGCTTGTTTGTTTAGTAAATTAATTTACAATAATGAAATCATCTAATGTTGATCATTTTTGGATAGATTTGTGTTTTAGAGGATCATGGGAGAATGTTCATGGTGTTTTACAATATATGCCTTTACCCATGAATCTTCAACTAAAACTGTCATTTAAAAAGTTAACTTATGAAACTCTAATGTTACGTGTTGCAAATAAATTGAATTTAGAGCCCTTAAGTGGATTTAGGCTATCTTATCAGAGAAAAGGTAAAGTTTATTTGTTAACCGACAATGAAGATGTTGAACGATTCATTGCTTACATTAGTGTTTCGGAAGATGATGTTACATTGTATGTTGTTGAACCTAGAAGTAGTGAAGTTGGGTCAGTAGCGGGTAGTAATCAACTAAGTTTTTCAACCCCAGTTTATGGTGCTCAAAATTTAATGGTTCCACCACAATTTCATCACCAAGCAAATTTTATTTCACCACATTTCCAATACCAAACACAATCTCAAAACCCACAACCTTTCCCTAATCCAAATCCCAATCAACTGTCAGTACCAAATTCCGATTTTTGTATTAACCAGTTAGACGATGATGAGCCAACAGAAAAAATTGTGAGTACTAGTCGGTATTCGAAATTTGATCTTGGTCAATACCCGGACTTTGATCTTGGTCAATACTCGAATTTTGATGATGTTTCAGAAGAAGAAACAGACCCTGAGTGTAATGATTTTGATATTGGTCAATACCCAAATTTTGATGATGAAACAGCCGCTGCCAAGGAAGATGTTGTTGATGATAATGAGGAGGAAGTTATGACTGTGAATGAACATGTTGAACAATCATTCTTTAATTCATATAACCCTAAAGAAGAAAAAGAAGAAGAAGAAATCCCCGAAGAAAAGTCCCCGAAGAAAATACCACGGGAGTATAACTGGAATATGCCAGAATTACTTCAGATACCGGAAGAAGAGTTGGTAAAAATAGCAGTTGATTGTTACACAAAAATTATTCGTATCAAGAAAGATGATTGTTTTGATACAAAGGAAGACTTGAAGATAGATTTGTATACAAAATGTGTGGAAGATGGCTATCAACTAAAAGTTAACAAATCAAGCAAATATCGTTTCGAAACAAGGTGTATGATTGACAAAAACTGTACGTTGCGTATGATTGCAAAGAGGATAAAAGATTGCGAAATGTTTCAAGTTAGGACTTTTATTGATAAACATACATGTTCAAGAACCCAAGTTTTTCCTCACCATTGACAGGCAAACAAAAAGGTGTTGAGTGGTTTTCTGGCTGAGTTAATGTTTTTGAATGGCAGGGTATATCGGGGACATGAAATTATGACTGACATGAATGCTCGGTTCAAGATTAGTATCTCATATTCTCAAGCTTGGAGAGCCAAATGTTATGCCTTGGAATTGTTGAGGGGGTCGCCAGAAGCATCGTTTTCTCAACTGCCGGCTTATTGTCACAATTTAAAGCTGAAAAATCATGGGTCGGTAACTCATATCAAAACATATAAAGATGGACACTTTGAGTTGCTGTTTATCGCCATTGGTGCTACGGTTAGTAAATCAATATAATTTTGTTGACTCATTTTTGTTAGTTAGATGCATTTCACATTTAAATAATTATATTTCTTGTGTATATGATTTTGTAGATTCGTTCGTTTATTACTTGCATGCGCCCAATTATTATAGTTGACGGAGCACATTTAAAAGGTTGATACCTTGAAGTAAACTTATTTGCAGTATCCATGGATGCTAACAATGGGATACTGCCAATAGCTTACGGGGTTGACAAATCTGAAACCTCTGATTCATGGATATGGTTTATAGGGCATCTTAGGGATTGCATAGGTCCTATTAGCAATCTGACAATCATATCCGATAGGGCAAACTCAATTGACAATGCTGTTAGAAGGTGCTTCCCATATGCTTTTCATGGACTTTGTGGTGTTCATTTGTATAGAAATCTAAAATCAAGGTCTGCTGGTATAAAAAATCACAAATGGACATACTGGAAGGCTGTAAAAGCTTATCGGGAAGTGGATTTTAATAAGCATATAAATTGTTTAAGACGTGTTTTGCCTCAGTGTGCTCAAACACTAGAAGATGTCGGGTTTGAAAGATGGTCAAGAGTACATCAACTTGGAGCAAGATATGGTTTCATGACGTCTAATAGTGCAGAATCAATCAACACTCTAAGTCGTCATTCCCAGAAATTACCCATTACTATGTTAATGGAGTTTTTTCGAGCCTCTATTTAACAGTGGTACTACAAGAAAAGAAACCATGCAGATATTATTTCTTTAAATTCGTAACTTATCATATATTTTACTAAGTATTATTTATTTAAATTTACAGGAACATTGGAACATCGTGTTACACCATGGACTGAAAAAAAGATAAAGAAACGTGTTGTGAAGTCAACGTCATGGAGAGTTGAACCATGTTCAAACACTTTGTTTGAAGTACTGGATAATAACTTAAATGGGCTTGTCGATCTAAATGCAAAGACGTGTAGTTGTATGAAATGGCAAACATCTGGTTATCCGTGTGGCCATGTTATAAAAGTTGCTCTTCATCTAAACCAAGATGATTCAAGCACATACGCTATGGATTGCTACACTACAGAAGTATATCGACAGACTTATGCCGAGATTATCTACCCTATTCCACATCCTTCTGAGTGGGACATACCAGATGACTTATAAACAGTTTTGCCACCAGCCATGGACAGAACGCTACCTGGCCGACCAAAAAGTCACGATCGTATACCGTCTAAGGGTGAAGAGAAGAAGAGATCGACATGTAGTCGGTGCAAGGAAAGTGGTCATACAAGTTTGACATGTGGATCACCAGTGCCATCTCAATCATCTTTTCCTCTACCAAAATATGGATCCTCATCAAAATCCAAAGCTCATATGGTGTCAAGAAAAAGGCAATCAAAATCGCAATCAAAATCAAAATCCCAATCATAACCGGCTTCACCTTTTCGGACTATTAACTTAGGTGATTTTTAAATGCAAACGTTGTATTATGTGTATTTTATGTGTAAACTTTTAACATTTTCAGTTAGGCATGTATTAGTAACTTGAGTTTGAACATTGCTATGATCTATTCAGTTGTTATCACTTATTACACATTCATTTGAATATCGCAACGCAAATTTGACTATTATGTGTATTTTATGTGTAAACTTTTAACATTTTCAGTTATGCATGTATTAGTAACTTGAGTTTGAACATTGCTATGATCTGTTCAGTTGTTATCACTTATTACACATTAATTTGAATATCGCAACGCGAATTTGACTATCGCAACGCGAATATTACTATCGCAACGCAAAAATCGCAACGCGAATTTGACTATCGCAACGCGAATTTGACTATCGCAACGCGACTTTGACTATCGCAACGTGAATTTGATTATCGCAACGGGAATTTGACTATCGCAACGAGAAAATCGCAAAGCGTATTAGACTATCGCAACGCGA